ATTGTAGAAAATAATAAATGCTTTTTTCCATTTCTAGACATTAAATCCAGGTCAAATGAAATGCTTAAGGAAAGTGTCAAACACACTGAAATATTTGATCCAATAGAGAAGTAATGTTCTTTGAGAATTTCTTTTTCAATAACTAATTGTTTAATTGTTCGAATATTATTGATCAATTCGACAGCAATCTATGAAAAGAATTTTCATGAAAATAAATTTTCAAGTGAAGAAAATATCTTGTTGATGTTGTTCGTTCAGAGAAAGATCGATTTTTTTTTCCTTGAGATTCATTTTCAATTCGATATAAGGATATGTTATGAATAATATCAAAAGAAGAAAGAAATGTGAAAGAAAGATTGAAAGAAAGATGCAAATGTAAACGTTGATATTGTTTGAATAAAGCTTCGAAGACGTGTTCCAGACATCTCTTCAATAGCGAACAGATTTTTGGATCAACGATTTGATGTAGCTGCTGAATGATTTTTTTTTGATTGATCAAAATAAGAAATTTCTTGATGAAAATATCTTTCAAATGCTTGTAACAAATCAATTCAATCAAATAGTTTTTTTTTTTCGTTGAATATTCCGTCCGATGAGACTTTTTGGAATTGATTATCATCTTCCTTCTTTTCAATTAATTATTCTTCATGAAAATCTGACATAACGAACAGTTAAATATTTCTCTATTCTTTATCTTTCAATCAACAAAACTCTATGGATTGGAATTATTCTTCATCTCAATGGATCAAGTAAATATAACCATGAATAAATCAACTATTTCTCAGAGAATGACAAATCAATGAACGATAACATTTGAAATTCTTGATCTTCTAAAAGTCATTTTTAGATCAAATGAAAATGGAAAAAAAAATACGAATGAAAAAATTTTGAAGTTGTCATCGAATCGGATTTAAATTTGAGAAACATCTTTGTCTTTACTTGCAGAAATCGAGTGAATAAAAATGCATGAAATGATTGAGTCAAATCAATGTGAAGATCAATCCAATCAAGACTCTTCAATTTTGATAATCAGAAGAAAAAAAAGAAAATGATTTCTTTTGAAAGAATTTCAATTTGTTTATTTAAGATTAAATGAAAGAATCTTTCCTAAAAAAAAATCGTTTTAATGAACTAACTTAATCGATTTCAATTATTTATCTTTCATTTCAACAAGGGTTTCGTTCAACTTAATTCATGAAAAATTCTTTGAAAAAGAAAAATCGAAGATCTTTTTACATGAAAATTCTTCTACTTGATATTTATGAAGATTTCTTAGATCACAACAATGATTAAAAAATTGATTTTTCTTTTAATTGCATTAATCATTTACCTATTTATTCTTAAATTCTTATTTTATTAATTAAATAGATTTGACCATTTTTTAGAATTGTAAAAAGATATTCATTTCTCCAATCTAAATCACTTGTTGTTTCATCCAAGATCAATATCGAAAGTTTTTCTTAATAAAGGTCGAATTAATGAAGACATTGGTTTTTTTTTCTCCTCTCTTGAATTCAGTTTTATTTTTCATCAACTAACCTTTGATATTTATTCAAAAGTAAAACAAAAAGAAAGAAAAATTGGTTACATTTACAAGTTGAACAATAAATTAATGAGCATTGACTTGTAACATTTTCATAAGAATGAATTTTCAAAAAGAAAATTTTCTCAGCGTTAAAAGAGGACTGAGAAAAGAAAGAATTTTTACTGATTCTATTTAAACAACTGACATTTGTTGAAGTTAAAATTGTTCTTAATTGATTAATTATTTATTCGGTTATTGTTTAATAATAACGAAGAGCATATCAAATGATCGTTGATTTTCCTAATATAATTTGAATATTTGAAAAGAAAATGAGAAAATTGAACAATGAAAGTCGAACTATTTCTACTACCATATGGTACAATTTGTTCAAAATAAACGATTAAATGAAGATTTTAGAAAATCAATCGATCTTTTTCGTCTTGGATAAGCAAATAAAATACCATTGAAATGTATATCATCATTGAATTTCAAATCTTTTCTTTTCTTTTTCAATTGAAAAAACAATTTTCATCTTCATCATTATTTTAGAACTGATTCAGAATTTTTTTTTTTAGTTTTTTTTTTCAAAAAAATTCTTTTGATCATCACCTTTGCGAAAATTATTTTCTATTTGAAAAACAATTAAAATTCAAAAAGAAATGAAAAATAATATAAATTGTAAAAAAAATCTGTTTTTTTTTGATCCTATGGTTTGTTTTTATCTTAATTTAAAATGTTTCCATTTTAAACTTAAAAAAAGAAAAATTCTATAATTTAATATTATTCTTAATTATTTTTATAATCTATAAACTTCAGAAGATATCAATAGGCAACTCTCATTTAGATATAAGTAGCTGCTATGTGTTTTAATGTGCTTGTTTCGTGCTTCAATAGAGTTTTGTAGTAGCTTTAGAATGAAAAGTATAAAATTTTTATTCTTGGAAAGATGGGTGATAGATACCTGTTCATTTAGAATAGTCAGAAAAATTCAAACAAAAGGGCTTGTATAAAGAGTTTACACTTGTCTGAATTAGGATTAAAAATATTTTCTCGAAGACGAATCAGTTGCGACTATTCTTATTTACATTCTACTTTTTTTTTAATTTCCATTATGGATCAGTTTAAACGAAGTAGCAGGATAGTTTACTCAAAACCAAATGAGTTATCTGGAGTTTTTAGACTAGTGTAAACAAGGATCGATGAAACATTCTCAAAAAAAAATGGACTAGTCTTAACATGTGCAGATGACACTTCAGACTAGTCAAGTTTCTCGTCTCTGACGGGTGTCAAATTGTCTAGCAGATAGATGAGCATCATTCTGCTATTTGGACGGTCAAAACTGTCGTCAGTCTATCGATATGCTATAGTCTGCCGTCATGTTTCTCGTCAAATATCGAATATTGTCGGATCAAATATTCAAATCTACTTTTCGTCTTCTTTTTTTTCTTATTTTTCTGTTTTGCTGACTATTTTGGACGCAGTGAACGGACAAAATGGACTAGACATGACGGGTATTGCAAACATTTCCGACTAGTCATTTTGACCGTCTTCAGTTATTTTATTGATCACCTATGCAGAGTGGGTTTATATTTGTGTGTGTGCACGTTTGCAGTCACTTGTTGATAAAAAAAAGCAGTTCACATAAAGCGATCATACGATTCTGTAATTTATCACATTTGGAATAAAAAGGAACGCAACATATTTCTCAAAAGTATAAAAAATACATGAACTACACAATCAACTTTATTTTATCCCTCATAAAATAAAAATAAAGTCGAAAAAAACAACGTTAGACGACAAAAAATAAAAATAATATGGCATCACCCAGTGATTTACTAGGAGCTCCAATCATCTCATATACCTCATTGCGTGTTGGTAAGTTTGAATATTGTTATTTTCGTTCTAAATTTCGTTTGAATGAAAGATAATCTTCACCCTAATGTTAATGAGGCAATGTTATTCGACAAATTTGCAAGTGTTGGGCCAATTTCATCAATTCGAGTCTTTCGTGATATGATTACACGACGATCACTTGGCTATGCTGAAGTCAATTTTCAACTAGCAACTGATGGTATGTCAGTTTATTAACTATTACAATAAAATGATATGTGATCGAACGAAATGAGAAAAAGAATAAAAAAAAACGG